AAATTTCTTTATTACTAGTACAGAGGAATAACAAAAAATTCAAAAGAAAATTTCTAATTTTGTTTTGAAATTATGTTTTAGATTATTATCTTTATTTATTTCAAGATTTCACAAATGAAGAAATGTTAACAATAATTTCTAGTTTTTGTATAAAGAAAGTTTTAAATTTTGTTTATAATTTTTGCTGGTCAAAAATGGGAAAATAAATTTCAAATAATGTTTATCATTATGTAAGTTATTTTTTAAGGTAAGGAATTGTGAAATGCCCCATGTGAGGGATTGGCATCGTACCGTATGGTACAGAAGACGGCTGTACCGTATACGGTACAACCCGTATGCGTAGTGCTTTCACGTGCGTAACGAAAGTGCGCATCCACAGCAGTTTGTCGCTTGAGGTTGCTTCTGCAAGTGTGGAGTATGTCTTCAACGGGAGGAGATGTTAAAATACGTTAACGTAAAGAACATGTTGCCACACCTGACGAAGGCGAAGAACATCTTTAAGGTCCAGATTAGACCAAATTAGTGAATGCAAGTCGTGAGGCAGAGCCTGCAAGGAAGCAATGAACTGGAAGGTACGTCACAGAGACTAGTGCGGATAAGGATGGCAGAGCTTGAATCCAAGCTGAAGGCAAGTCCAGACACACACGAGCATCAGATAAATGGACGAAGGACAAAAGCACAAGCATAAAACACAGGTACAGGAACTAGAAAAACAGGGTTGGTAGTGGAAGACCGCTACTACGAGTACCCGAATTGCCATAGATCGTGCGACGTCGATCCACGTGTCGCCCTGAAACGGTTCTCTAGTTACTTCTACCCTCTTTAAGGATTATGTCTCGGACACAACCTTGTCGCAACGTTTCTATAAGCAAATGGCCTCGTAAGACCATCGCCGTGCAGTGAGACAAATTCAACAAAGGGTGTTCCCATATTCTTCAATGCAGTGTATACCTAGCTAATATTGTACTTGTAATACTTATAAGCTGAGTTGCAGTTGAAGTTATAGCTAAACGACTATGTGGTAGTGAACAAGCAGGTTGGCTAGGTACTAAGAGTAGTGCAGAAATAATGTCATGCTCATCGTCACCAATTCCAAAGTCTCCATTGTTAGTGGAAGTGACTAAGGTGTAATATATTGCAAAATCGACTTATTGAACATCTAGTGACTGAGACTACAAAGAGCAGAAAAGAGTCTGTCCCATTCTTCCCTAGTCCAGCTTGCCATGGTATCGTCATCCGGGTACTGCTTGCACAGCATCTCGTGATGTTCTCGAATTTCGAAGACTACGGATGCTGCACTACATTGCGTATGTCGAATTCGTGAGTCTCGCCAGTCTCGGAGATTCGCATCAATTGCACGAATATCACGGTTGGGCAAATCTCGGATGATTAATGGAGGATTACCCGAATACTGAGAGTACGTGCATGGTAGAATGCACAGGATAATGTTCGGCTCGCCGTCAAATGCTACAGCTTCTTCCTCGTCGGACTCGTCATCGTGATCAGGGTTTCGTTCAGATCTACAGAAGAACATGCGTTCTCCGCTGCGGAAGACGACACGCTTGTGGTTCGTCACGTCATACAGCACAGGAATTAAGTCTCCTAATGCTTGGAGTCGATTCCTTGCGAAAACAGACGGCGCTGAGTTGAAAAAATCAGCATCAAGGAGACCCCACCGCGAAAGCGGTGTCATCCAGTCCCATAAGCATTCAAAATGCGACCAGTCATTTGACCAATTCGAAAATGCATGTCGTCCAACTTGCTCATCGAACCAGTTGCTAGTCACTTTTTCACGAATCGAAGGTGGAAGTTCGTCACCGACTGTGTAAGTCTCCCTGATGCTGTAAAACACTGGTAAATCCGGAGGAACTACCGTCTTGATTTGACAAGCGTCATCCGGCTGTTAAGATTCAGATTTGAGGATCTGACATACATCTGAGAGCTTCTGCGAAACTGAAGCCACCGCCTCTGCTGCCAAGGATCCCAAAGACTCGGTATGTACACACTCGTGTCTTATGATGTTCTTGTCCATGAATGCTGCAAGACGAACGTCCCCCGAGCTAGTTCCCATTAACAGATAGCCATTTCCGTCGTCAAACGAGAGACTGGTGATCAAATGTGGGAGTGGAAGTGCTTCTCTGGAGACTGGTACGTAACCACTTAAAGCAGTGAATAGCTGATTCTCTTCATCAGAAGCGACTGTTAAGCCAACGGATACTGTTGAAAGCGTCGGTGGTACCCAGCAGTGCGACTCTAATGTCGCCACACAAAATAACTTGCGGCCTGAAAGGCCCAGAGCATAGTGGGTCAACACCGGCGGACGCGAATCTGGGAAGGCTTCCCAAGGATCAATGCTTAACGTTTCGCATAAGGTGAAGGCCCTGGTTTGTTCCATGTCTCTGTTGCGCATTATCACAGCCTGGCAGAATGCAGAGCTTTTATCCTGAAAATATAGTCGCATAAACAGACCTGATTGTCCAACTTTCCTAACTTCGTCTTCGGATACATCCCAAAATTGGCCATACCAAGCGTGCATTTCGAGAGGCAATGTAGCTATGTGATCTGGATCGCGCATGCCCTCAGATTGAGGGAATGAGAAGACATGTATTGCAGTTCGGTGCAAGAACACAACGAATCCTTCCTTGATTGTCATTGCAATGCATGGTTCCTAGAAGAACTCCAGAGCTTGGTCACTTGAAACATGATAGCTGCACGTACAAATGGGAGAAATGAGGGAACCTGAGAAAGTGCACTACTTGGAATAGGTAATTTGTACGAGTGACAATTCTTCCAATCGATGATATGGGGATAAGAACCATCATTCTTCCAGGCTGCAAATCCAAGTAACCTCCCCTGAAAGAAGCGAACGTATGATGCATCCGATATGGAAATAAGCTCGTTGAGTGTGACTTTTTCTGCATGTTCAATTATACTGAGGATGAGTATATACGGGGCCCTTTGTGTCTAACTGATGAGACGATAAACACCAGAGACAATTAGCCAAGAGACTCACGAGGCTCCTATAGTGATTGCGCAGCGAATCTGTTCACACGATTCATCCACCATCCCATCCATGACAGGAGCGTCCAGAAATACTCTCGCAACCTGACGAATCTCCCCTTCTGGAGGAATCTCCCATACCGAAAATTCACAGGTATGAACATCAGCTGAGGCGACAAGCGCCCAACGCCCGTGAACCAGTCTGAGCCACGTTATTCCCAACTTTTCGCGGTTCGCTATCCTCCGTGCATGAAGCTTTTTGTAAGGTGTTCGGTAGTTTCTATCAAGCAAAACGGCATGTTTTACCCACGACTGGATATCACGCACATGAACGTGCTCGAGATTGCCCAGATAGTTCGGGATACATAGGTCGTTCGCTACGACGATTTGCTCGTACATGCAGATCCAAAGTTGCTTATCATTTAATATCGCGGAAGACAACGTGCAACATGTCTGTGAAAGCGATGGGTTCAACACCGACAAAAGAAAACCGTTCGGACAGCACCTGGCTAACACGCAATATATCGGCCAGGCTGAGTTCAGACCAAATCAAAGAGAGAATATCCTGGGGCAGTGTAAGAATGTTTTGCATGTTTTGCAGTCACCCTGTGTTGACGCATTACCGATACTTTAAGTGTAGACGGCGGCAGAGTTGTGTATGATAAAGTCTAGCAGAGAGGAACCTACTTAGACGCCGAGCGGAGGAATTAGGGCCAAGACTGATTGATCGCCGAAAAGCCCGAATACGGCTGCAATCAACCTTGAATGCTTCTATATATAGTGCAAGCAAACACATCTTGCTGAAAAAATACATGTGAGTCAAAGTAAAATAAATAAACAAACGCTTGCTGTAATTCCTGTTACAATTGACTTCAAGTTGAAGAAACAATCGGAATTTACGAGTACAAATCGATTCAGTTATGTAATCATCGCGTATCAATTGAATCTTGAAGCCACTTCCCTGAATCCTTCGCTTCGTGCCAATAAATGCCTACTTACTCGCCTTCCTTGACTTCCTACAACCACCATGTCGGGTACAATAGAGACTGGAATGACCGATTTTTCGCTCAATAAATCCACTACTACTGTGGCTTTGACTGCCGGCAAACAGAGAGCAATTATCAAGTGAGCAGTCGTTCATTCGCAACGTGGTCTTTTCCGCCTGACTATTTTCATAGTGGCAAGACACGTACGCATCCTAGTGAATGGGTCTTTGTATTCCAGTCTAAATGCATATACTTTCGACGCCTGTCTGAGAAATACGGGCTTGACTGGGAGAATGACATGTTCGGCGCTGTATTAACCGTCACGCAATGGGTTCAGAATGCAGCAAACGTGCACTTCAACATACGCGCTGGGACCTATCGAGGAGCTCCCGACCAGTTTGTTACGTTCTTGGAGGATCTCCGGAGGAGCTTGCATCGCCTTAAGGTATCTGACGAGCAAATGGACAAAGTGCGCGTCTTGATGGGTGTTGAGAGGGAAAACTTAAGGGGGGCACGCATAGACAAGGGGTGAGGTGACGATTGACTGCTCAGTGTCTCTCGTCCTTATATTGTATGTATTCTAACTGAGACATTATGAAGTCATCATCTTGTGGTTCGTCCATT